GCATCACATATTCTAGTTTTTCATAGATGTATAAGTTATCGCAGTTACATGGATTTAATTTTTTTTTTTTGGCCAAAAGTATACCAATATTATCATCGGAGGCCATTAAATAAGAAAGAATAAAACCTTTTCATTGAAAAAAAAAATTAAATCCTTGTAATAATTTCCTTTTTTTAATCTTTCAAGAGAGTTTATTTACTCTCTCTATATGATTTTGTCACCAGAAAAAGTCTTCGAACTTTTTTCTATGGATAAATCACAGACACTTGACATTTTTAACCTTTCTCTTCATAAAAGAAAATATCCCTGATAAATATAATTATAACGTATATTTTTATTTATGAAAGGTTAAAGACATCACGCGTCTGTGGGATAAAGACTTAAGAGAACGTCCCTCTCACCAACCCATACACGAACTTCTGGCAACATAAAAAAATATTCTAACGAGTGAAAAGAATTATCGATGTCCTAAATGTTTTCTTTTATGTATAATGTTCAAAATTCAGACAAAGTACACATCTAGATTATTGAGATTATTTTCTTCAAAACAATGACACAAATATTATTTTTTAAATAAGAACGAGATTAACAGACAAAAAATCAATAATTCTTACCACAGCAAGGTTGTCTGGAAAATACCTCTATTTGAAATATGTGGTAATTTTTCTCGAGGTCAATCCGTAAATACGGATTTTTTCCGGCATCTGTATGGGCATGGTCGTTAAGGATTCCGTTTACGGCATTAGATCCGGGCCACTGAGTGTTGTTCAGGTAGGAACTTAAAGTCACCGGTTTTTGTAACGCTACATTTTTATAAAGAGTTTCTATGCCTGCATTTCCATAATAGAAAAGGGAGAACACGACAAGTAATGTAGGTAACATGACTGGATTTAGTCTGATTTGACTAGAAACGTGTCCCTTTATATATTATTCATTATCTACTGTTTGAATTTTATTTATTTTTGGAAATAAAAGTGTGCATTGTTATCAAAACAGAGCTTGGAATTTTTGCTGAAATTTCCAAAATTAGGGATTGACAGATGTTTGAGAATTTGTATGGATCCGGAAAAATCTGCATTTACGAAAACGTAATAAGCAAGGCTAAAAAATCCTCTCAATAGCAACTATTTAATTTTATATGCTAATTCATGTAAGTGGATTTCGTATTACAAAGTACGATGATAATTAATACAATGCATTTAATAGCATGTAATTCAATGTTTGTAAGGTTTTCCCTAAATGATGAATCAAAGGTTTTTTGATCTAAACTAATGATCATGAAGACATTAAAAACAATAAGATTAAACTTAAGTGTTAGAAGTACATTTTATCACATTGTGAAATTTCAGTCAATCCACGAGTATTGAGATAGTGATATGTAATGTACACGCACACTTCGATTAAAGCTTTTTTTTCTATGCCCAAATATTTCATTTTTCGGAGATACTAGTAATTCATAAAAGCATTGGTAATACGTTGTCTTTATTCAAAACATTGTTTTCAAAATTGTATTGTATACATGTTTTATTGGGAGTTGAACTATGTTCAGACTCCCTAGGCTGTCACGCGATTTCTAGCACAGTAATTTTACAATGAATTATATAGCGGCCGTCGTGGTGTTTCTGTGTCGCCCAATTTACTCCCCTGTGATATTCAATACAAACTCGTACCAGTCTATATAAACTCGAAGAAACTTCCGCAATAAAAATAGTCCATCTCATTTTTCTAAATTAATCTAATTTTCATAAATGATTTGAAAGTAAATGAAATAGCATTTTATTAAACTTAATTTGAATAGAGTATTTTTGTCATCTTTCTTGAGAAATGACACATATATTTTGATTTCCGTATGTTAATTGATCATTACGTCGCAGGTTCGAGTCCCAGTTTTCCGTCATTTATCATTCGGCAATCCTCGGCTGACTCCATTACGCTCCATTACAAAAAGTGCTAGGTCATCCAAGGAGCAACAACTGGTCTAACTGGTTTGACAATGACGCGATCATCTAAATATAGAGACGTAAACAAAGATGTAAGGAAAGGAACGCTAAGGTTTAACCCAACTTCTTTCAATTTGTTTCAGCAATAAAGAGACAGAACAACGTTTCTTTTAAAAAAAAAAAAACACTGCGGAAAATATTTATTAGCTATGACAAGTAAAATGATCTGTTAGACTCGAAAATTTTTGTCAGACCAGATACATGCATTTCATTTTTTTACGTTGGTAAAGGGGAAAAATAATAGCATTAAAGTTTGCTGATATTCGATCACACAATTTCAAATGACATTAATTTTGCATCCTTAATTCCATGAATTTATCAGCATTTAGTTGGTCACGTGTACAACACCAAATCTGAACTTGAAAAATGTGTGTGTACTTGTATTGCAGTATAATTACATGTACCTTATAAAATTATAATTTGATTTTCTTATATAATTAAAGCAGTTAAGATTAATGAATACATGCGTATGCACGGACACAGTGGTATGATAATCCTAATGATCTATCTATGAGAAAGATCGTTCCTAATGATTACAACTTTTTTTTCTTGTAGTAGCTTGTTAAACTATGTCTTATTTTTAATTTAATTTGATTCAAATCAAAATCACAAACTTTAAGTCTCAATCGCGTGGCACAGTTGTTAAAATAGTTTGCTCTAGAGATTCAACGTAAGGTGTTAATTGATCATTACGTCGCAGGTTCGAATCCTGTTGGATGCATTTGGAGATAAACTCTTTTGATGAGACCATATAAACCGAAATCCCATGTCGCAGTATGTGCTTGCACAAAACGATCCCTCACTACTCAATGGTTTTTAGAGCCGTGTTTAGGTAAAAATATGTAGACTTACATGTAGCTAAGTATTTCAATATGATTGAAAAATTATCGAACGTAAAACAAACAAAATGTAAAGTATTCATACATACTTACTTTTATATAGATATTACTTGAAATGAAATTTAAAATTATGGAATAACAAAACTTGATGATTAAGTTATAAAGATAGATACATTTGATAAAATGGAGTTCTATATAAATTAATTATTTTGTCCGAAAAGAAACATTCATACCCAAAAGAGAATAGCAAATACTTGTTTTAATCAGAGGAAGAAAAATGACAATCTAGTGTCTGGTGATGGTAACATTGAATATGAAGAGTGTTTGTTTGTTTGTTTCTTGGGACCAAATATCTTGTACACATTTTAAAGAGAGTAGGGGGAGTTTTGATTAAAATGTTTCAGAAATGTAAGGATAGTGTTTGAGTTTTAGTAATAAATGGTACTGAAAGAAGTTTAAAACCTAACAACAAAAATAGTACCGGTATTTTCGAGTTTGAAAAATATATTCTTTTGGTGACGGGGGTTGTTTGTTTGGTTTGGTTAAATTGTTGAGGTAAGAATTAGAAAGAATTAATCCAGAACTAAACTTAACTGTTCGTGCGCAATAAATATACAGTTTTTTTCAATGGATGGCACTGTACATGTAGCTCTCCGGTTTGTCAAAATCCTTTTTTCGGAGAGCTACAATTCTGCAGCTAATTTAAGAGCAGTCCCATGATTTTAGCTATTAAATGCAATAGAAATCATTTTTAATGTTCAGTTTTGTATCTCTAACAAATCAGTTCTAGCTAACTTGAATCTGAATGCATGAAGATGTTCCTATACTTCCTGTGAGATCTTTCAGATAACAATGTTCAACTCCCAGGAGTACTTTCAGTACTTTGATTATGTCTGTGTTTGTTATTAAGTAAATTTTTGAAAAAAGACCTGAATATAAAAAGAAGCAAGAAGCAGTAATGAGATCTTGTGCTATCTGCGAAAATTTTTGAGATCATGATGAAATTGCCATAAGTATTAATAAGACTCCTTTATTAGAAGCTCTATTCTGTATTTAAATGAAGCGGAATTGAATATGTCGACATGGAAACAGAAAGCGTAAACTTACTGCTACCTTCAATTCGGTATTTAGATATAATATTTTTTTTTTATCTTGAAATGTGATTTTTCATTGAATTGCGTTAAACAACGTTTCAAAGAATAGAAATACGCATAGACAGGGGTCTTTATGGAAATAAAATCAAAAATCGGATACACCTGCATTTTCTTATAGAAGATTTGGGAAGTTTTTTTTACGTGTAAAAATGAATTGTCTTTCTTCCTACACTTAATGGTAGAAAATCATAAAAAAAAAATTAAACAGCTTACCTATTGCAAGTTATACGGCATAATGTGGGACGGAAGAGTTTACGCTTTAAAACACTTGAGCACAGGTCTTTGGATAGCTTAAAATTTTTTTAACACCCCAAATCATTTTCTAAACGATTAAAAGGCCTGTGAACTTGAGTAGCTACATGTGTATTAAGTCATCACATTTTACAGGTTCTTAAAGTTCTTTTTATCTTTACAAGTATGAGCAGAATGTACAACCCTACAACAGGGCTCTTTTTCTATAAAATCAACGCCTTTTTATCTAATAACAATACATTTTTATTCATTTGTTGATTTGTTTTATCCTATTGAACTTGAAATTAAAATATTACAGAGTACAACACTTTTCTTTCAAATTTTGATTATTTACAAAAGAAATAGAATTGCCGTTATTTTAGATTAGTTAAATTTTGGTTCATTGATTTTAACACAATTAATCAATGAAAGTATATCAAGGACGCTTCTGACATTATGCATATTAAAATTGCATTTTGAAGTACAATAATTTTACGCTCCAGTTAATGGACAAATATTTCAAAACAAATTATGTTCTAAAGAAACATTGTATTCTGAATTAAGGTTGCACAAATGCAGGTTTTTCCATACAGATGTTTGCATATCTATCAGTTCTAAACAATTGAAGCTATCATATATTAAAAATTTACACATTATACGAGTTTCAAGATGTGACGTGTATGTTACTTCACAGTGAATCTTTAGGAAATTCCTAAAATGTGGACAATGAAAAAAAAACTTGAATAGAAAGCGCAATGTTAATTCTAAAGCAGATTGATTTCAAATTACGATGAGTGCATTAGCCTTCGCAATTTTTTTTTTCTGTTATGGAGTAAATGCTCTTAGAAATGTCGCGCAGCATAAACCCGTAACGCTAAGTTCTTACAGCCCAAGATGGCCAGCGTCGAATGCAGTCAATGGAATCCTCAGCGACCATGTCCTTACTAATGACGAAGACAATCCCTATCTACGGATTGATCTTGGGAAAAACTATATGATTCATCAGATAGAGGTCTTCTCCAGACAATCTTGTTGTGGTATGTCCATATGTTATGTTTTTTACCATGATTGAAATACTAAACTTTTTTTAAAAAATGCAATTGAGGAAAAAATAGCAAAGAAATGTTCTTTGTCTGTAGATAATTCCTAGTTTAATTAAATACATATAATCATGTAAAATGATGAAAATGCTGCTTTATACACCAAGTTTCCATTTATTGAAACAAGCATTTAAGAAAAAAGCATTAGGGAAAATATATGTTGAATATTGTTGGATTCTTAATAAAATCTCTGCATAAGGATTAAATTGAAAAAAAAGAATCGAAAATTAAGTTTACCATTCAATTTATCATTCAAATTTCAATTTTTTTTTTTTTTTTTTTTATCATTTTCGGTGACAAAATAAATAAAAACATACATGTATTACATTTAGCAAATTTTGTTTTTCATCACTCGGTGAAAAAGTGGGTTTACTTTTTGTACCAGACATGCCCTTTGAATTTTCTAATGATTTTTCAAGTTTCTTTGAATTTTTCTATTATCCTTGTTATTTTCTATAACCTGATCGGTAATCTTTAAATTCTCAATTAAAAAAAAAGATGTCACAAAAAAGCATTAAACTTCTGACTTTAGGTGCTTATACCATTGCTTCAGTCACCCACATTTTATCCCATAACGTACTAAAATTGAAAAGAATTCTCAAACTATTTAGCTTATTTACTGTTTAACAAATTTTCCAGCAAAAAAAAAAAAAAAAAAAAAAAAAAAAAAAAATTTAAGAATCTTTGTTTCTGTTCTAGGCAAGCAAATTCATGATTTAGAGGTAAAAGTGGGCAAGTTTCTGAATCTCACGACTGTTTATGGTTATTATTCCGGATTTGCAAAGGACGCGGAACAGATTTCTTTTTGGTGTCCATATTCCACAGTTGGACGCCATGTTCAGATACAAATTTTCAAAGGAGTCAACGACGTTCTGACCCCAGCCGAGGTTATTGTATGGGGTAAATAAATTCTGTATCTCATGATGGATTTAATGAAATGAAGTGCGACATGTTGCTTGTTTCGTTTAAAATATTTTTTTCAATAAATTAAAACGTGCTTCAATATTTTCAAAACTACTTTTAAGAATTTTTCTATGGTATTTTACACGCTACGATTAAATATATATGTAAAGGAGAAAGTCCGAAAACTATCCATTCTGTGAGAGAAAGAACTGTTCGAGGGCAGAAGGGTCGGGAATAGTTTTTTTCTCTCAAAGAATCGACAGTTTGAGGACATTATCTACTCAAAACACATTTTATCTATTGTTTACTTATAATAAACTGTCCCAGGTGATGGTTAAGTATTGTTATGATTACGCACATGTAACATACTTAATTGTCCAGAGAGTGTGGGGTGAAAACACGTTGTATTGTTTTACTTAATAGACAGTGCCAGGTAAATTTAAATTAAAATGATACCTCACGTGATTTCTGACTATTTCCATGGGAAAGCTTCATGAGTGAAGATGTCCTAATCGGATGGAGAAAGCAATACATATTTCTCCAATATACAGGCCAAAGGGTGGTAAATACTCTAAAGTAGGAAGGCACAAGCAGAAGCCTGTAGGTATGCAGATTCTGAAGTTGTTGCTCAAGTTTTGACAAAAACTTTTGCACATCTTTGTAAATAATCAGGATTTAAGGGACACTTTATGAAACATGTTTTGAAACAACAGCGGCGACTGGCTTGTATGAAGCTGAGATTGAGGTAATAACGGAGAAAAACATACCACAAATCTATTACAGTTTAATTTGATCATTCAGTTGCACCAACAATGTATAGCAGCAGAGGAGTAAATGAAATAATTCATGGAAATATGGGGAATTCAGATGATGGCAAGTGTATAAAAAAGATAAAAATTTGCGATTTCTGTTCCAAACTGATTCCGCATGCAGTGCATCTATAGCGAGATTATCATTTCATCCGGAAATTTGCCTTTCTCTTTGAAAATTTAAATTGCTTTTGTATATATACATGTATTTTAAACATTCCTGGAATGGATCTACCAGCAATCATTTACCAATGTTAAGAAGAGGATGAAACGTATGTTTATTAATAAAGAAACTTCTGGATGTGGAATTGTTCTAAATTTATTATGAATCAGGATATTACATACATTGTATGTGTATTTTTGCGTTGTGTTTTTCATTTCCAATGAGGATATATTATTACCTAATCTACTATATAAATTGTAATTAGGCATTTTGAACTGTTTCAGGATTTATTTTATGTTTTTGTGTGACCATGAAACAGTCGAACTGATTACCGGGTCACAGTATACACTTATTTAATGACTACTCGGTGAAACAGTCAAACTGTTGTCCCGAGGTAGTGAGGAAGACCCCTATACCGAGGGACAACAGTTTGTTTCACCGAGTAGTTATTTGAATAATTATGTGTTTTATACCTAACCTACTATATAATTAACCAAATTAAAATAAAAACACACAAACAATCAATACAGAGTTTTAACAATTATTTATTCGCATACTAGTCTATTAATTAGCTGAACATAGAGTATAAAGATTAATTCTAATGCAATTGTTTTGTAAAACACTCTTTGATTGGCTAATGCACTGATGTTTGAAGCAGTAAAACGAGCATTAACGAGCGTGAAAGCTTTTTCATTGTGACGTCATAATAGAGCGACGCAAAAATGCAATGCTCCGTGACGTATTTCATGTAACAAAATTCAACAAAATAAGACGTAAACAACAAACAAAATGCATGGATTGCATTAGAATGGGAATAACTAAACTTTTAATTTGGTATTTGCGACCGTTAATGCTGATTTAACGGTCGCAAACATCCGTTTTACCGGCTCCGCTTACGCGTCGCCGGTAAAACTCAGTTTGCGACCGTTAAATCAGCATTAACGGTCGCAAATACCAAATTAGAAGATAGTTATTCCCTAAATTAATATTTAAAAATTTAAAGTAATACTTAATGAATTGATTTATTGATTGTTTGTGTTTCATCCCAATTCAATTAATTATATAGCAGGTAAACATAAAATATACTAAGATATAGAAATTACATTGATCAGCAATATGATCATACATTATGATACAATATGCGTGACAAATATTGAAACATGATGATAAAAAAGCGTGTCGAAAAACATCAGACTTTATCAGTTATACTATATAAATAACCTATTATTTTAAAAGACGATGAAAGATTCAAATTGAAGCAGAGATAAAAGCAACAGAATCATGTGAGTAAATGTTCTTTTTATCAGAAAAAAAATTACCGTAATTTTTGTAAAGTTAGTCATTTCTTCTTTCTTCTAGTTTGTTCTTATTTCATACATGTACATGTATGAACGTTTTTAAAAGGGGAAGAGTAAAATATCAGGGGTAAATTTGGATTTTTTAATTAAAGCCAACACATAGATAAAGAATTCGATTTTTAATTTAAATGTTCCATAAATAGCCAGCAAATACTTTTTTGTTGAAATTTTACAATATTTCCTGAATATTAGGAATATACAGATACTGGTATATACATGTACATCGGAACATATCTTGATCAAAGGTTTCAATCCCAACGCAATGCAGTTTGAAAAGGAATCTAGATTTTTCCTTTGATTTAAAAAAAAAAAAATATTAGCAAGAGAATCATCTTTAATGTCAGATGACAGATTCCGTGCATGATATTCCCTATACCTAATATGTTGGTAATCACTTGAATTGCCCATATCATAAACTTTCGTGAAGTAATTGTTTTAGAAAAGTCCTTTCGAAGACAATTTAAAAATTACACGAGAATACCCATTGTGTGTGATGTATTACGAAAAGATACAAAAAAGATATTTGAGGAATATGTCATACAATTTTAAAAATATTTAATTACAGGATGACATATATCGGATGTTTGAACTTTGTTTTTGTTCTGATGCTGACCACTTCCTTTGCCGACCCTTCCCCTCCAACCGCATTCCTCAAAGACTACGATAGTTACATGAAAGTTTGTCACCGACTCAACTGTAAACAAAGGAAAGGTAAATATTTCGATTTTTTAAAAGTTAGATCTCACCGAAAAGATCAAAGTAAAGGTTCTGTTACATATATTAGAAACTGTTACAACTGTTTGTCATTCTGGTGCATGTGTGATTTGAAAAGTTTACGGTTTGGCATTGTAAACGTTTCGCATTGAAAATGCATATAGTGGTCATTTTTATATTTCCATTTTCAGTATCAAAAGATAAATAAAATTTCAATTTTAATTTAAGGTCAAGATCTAGTAAACGAAAGGTGCCTACAGATTTATCAAACTTGAGAAATGAATTCCTTTTTTGATGCTTTACAACTTTAGCTTGGTCAAATAAGGTGTTTCTGGGCATAATTTGTAGGTAAACAAGATGAAAAACTTTATTTTAAACTGTCATTTTCAATGAAAAATTAAGAAAACCAGTCATGAATATGGGAGTTTTTTTCGTATTCGGCAAAGGAAATGTATCAAGATTGCCTACAGTCACACAGAAAACGGTAATTAGTATGTTCATAGCCTTCTCTTTAAATCAATATCAAAAATATAGGTACCCGGTTTACTTTTCATATGATTTCAAATTGAATGACATGAAAATACCCAATTTTCTACATAATTCTGCTAAAGCCGTAAAGTACGGGAAAAAGAAAGTTGAAATTGACTATGACGTCATAATGGATCTAGCACCAAAAAATTGGTCTCAAGTTATTTACTAGATCTTGACCTTAAATCATATTATTCATTAAAAAGTAATGTAACAGAGATACACAGAATGCGAGAAACTGGTAAAGATTTCCAATAAAAAAAATATATATATTCTTTTACTTTGACATTTAATTTCATTGGATTATTGTTCATGTGATATACTGTTGAATGCCTTTCTTTTCACTTGATTTTATTAATATCTATCTGTGATACCAGCAAATCTTAATTCTATATAAATAAAGATTATAAAATGCCTAATATGTAAGACTATAGAAAGTAATTTTTATAAATTTAACTTTGATAAGCAATTGTATTAATCATATGTTTTTTTTAAGTTTTTTTTTTAATTAATTTTTTTTTTGCAGAGACTATTGCCTTTCATGCTAATTTCAAAGGTCACCTCAAGAATGTTCCTGTAAACACCATCATCAAATTTGACAACGTCCAGTTGAACAAAGGCAAAGGATACGATCCAACAACAGGGGTTTTTACAGCACCAGAGGATGGTCTTTACTCTTTTGATTGGTTATTTTTGGCTGCGAAGGATGGAAGTGTTTACCTTTTTGCCATGGTTGATGGCACTATCCGTGTTAAAACCTGCATTCACAAGCAACAAAGTGTCCACATATCTACAACGGGTCATTTGGTCACTGAGCTAAAGAAAGGGAGTAAAGTGTGGATCAAGACTTCTAGTGAGGCGAAATTCATCCATGGAGGCCTTTACAATTACTTCTCTGGATTCAAAATTAATTAACTCTCAGTAAAAAGAGTTTTAATTATAGCTTTCTTTTAATCGTTGAATATATTGATTGTAGAAATAAATTACTGATACTTGAAGGATGTTGTTGGCTTTTACTCTTTTCCTTTTCAACTTGGTTCTATTGTAACACAATGTCCCATGATGGTAACAGATTAATACTAAATAGTATGTCTTAAATAGTATGTCTGCAAATACAGTTCTGCTAGTATTATTCTGTGTAAGAAAGCAAACTTAAGTTAATTTACAGTTGTGACTCCGAGATAACTTTGACAGTATATTATATACGTAAAAAAAGCTACATAAATAATATCTTATCACTTAGTAAATAATTAAACAAAACATCTAGTTTTTGCTTCAGTGTACTGTATTTATTCCTACTCATATACATACACGTTGACATTTGACCTTTCACTGGTATTTCAATAGAAAATTAAACATCCCACAGGTATTACCAATATATTAACAAAATGGGCTTTTAAAGTGTTTATAATAGAGAAAACAATTCGAAATGGAAATATTGTTTTGTCACACCAACAATATTCGCCAGATCTTTCAAACTTTGACTTGTTTCATTTCCCAAACATGCAAAAAAAAAACACCTTTCAAAAAGACAAAAAAAAAAAAAAAAAAAAACCCAAGTAAAGGAAATCATAGGATCTCCCATATTCCATACTGGGAAAAAGGGTCATTCTCAAAAATTTGTTCCAAAAACAATTAGAAATTGAAAAAAAAAATGTTACGGACATGTGTTTTAAACAAAAGAGAATATTTAATTGAAATCCTTAAGACTAAATTAAAGAAAATGTCTAATTTACATCCCTAAATTAATTCATGTAAAACATCTGACACGGCAGACTCATGTTAGCAATTAAGTTTCTACATCCCGAAAATTCTTATCCGTGAGATTAAAACAATTCTCGAAGAATTCTCTGTAAATTGATATGATTTATAGGCTCGGCCGTCAATTTATATATTTCACCTTTGATATCTATTGAAACAAAATTGATTGTATCTTTCAGTTGTTCAATTTTTGTGATTCTGCATTATATATTTATATGCATGACATTCTGTGTTTTTTCATTGTAGTCATTTATAATGTAAATAAATGGCATTTTTTCAATTCACAGAATCTTAATTTTGTTTCTTCGTATCAAACAGAGTTAAAATATTGTCAGTGGATTTACATAAAGCGCTTTTTTCTTTCCTTTCAGAGCACCGATGACAACATTTACTGAACATTCCTCGTATCTCTAGGACAAGTCTGTGTGGAAAAGAAATACCTTTAATATACAGAGATATCCAAATAAAATTGAACAGTAATATGACCGCACATGAGTGATACAATATTCGTGACAAAGATTGAAACATAACGATAAAAGAGCGTGTCATAAAACATCAGACTATAAATACCCTGTTTTTTTAAAAGAAGATGAAAAATTTTATTTGAAGCTGAGATAAAGGGAACAAAACAATGTAAGTAAATGTTCTTTAAATCAGAATAAAATACCGTATTTTTTCTTCTTCATTCAAATTTGAATGATTTCATTTCAAATGCACGTTTTTGCAATGGCGAAAGAGGGATGGTAAATTCTCAGGAGGAAAATTAGATTTTTTAAAATTTAAAGCCAAGACGTAGATAATCCATTGAAAGAATTTGATTTTTTTGTTACTTAAATGATCCATTTTGAAATTTTGTTATATTTCCTGAATATAAGGGAATGTAAAGGAACTGTTACTTTACATAAGAGTATATCTTGATCAAAGTTGTTAATCCCAAAGCAATACAGTTTGAATAGGAATCTAGATTTTTCCCTTTGATTTCTCTTTAAAGAAATGAAATATTAGCATTAGAATCATCTTTAAAGTCAGATGACAGGTTCCACTATTATATGTAAAACATATGAACAAAAAACAGCCACATAAACCTCACCAAGCATCTGTGCATGATAAGAAGGTAGTGTTACCTATACTATGTTGGTAATCACTTGAATTATTCATATCGCAACTTTCGTGTCATTAATTTTCTTTTGAGAAAAGTACATGTACTTTTGAAAACACTTTAGGAATTTCAAGAGAATGACAATTGTGGTATATTACGAAAAGATACAACCAGATATTTGAGGAATGTGTCATGCAATTTTTAAAATATTTAATTACAGGATGACATATATCGCATGTTTGAACTTTCTTTTTGTTCTGATGCTGACCACTTCCGTGGCCGACCCTTCCCCTCCAACCGCATTCCTCAAATACTACGATAGCTATATTAAAGTTTATCACCGACTCAACTGTAAACAAAGGAAAGGTAGATATTTCAATTTTTTAAAAGTTAGATCTTACCAAAAGGATCAAAGTAAACGTTCTGTTACATATATTAGAATATGTTACAACTGTTTGTCATTCTGGTGCATGTGTGATTTGAAAAGTTTACGGTTTGGCATTGTAAACGTTTCGCATTGAAAATGCATATAATGTTCATTTTTATGTTTCCATTTTCCGTATCAAAGATAAATAAAATTTCAATTTTAATTTAAATCATGCTATTCATTAAAAAGTAATGTAACAAAGATACACAGAATGCGAGATTCTGGTAAAGATTTCCAATTAAAAATGATATATATATATATATAGATATATATATATTCTTTTACTTTGACATTTAATTTCATTGGATTATTGTTCATGTGATATACTTTTGAATGCCTTTCTTTTCACTTGATTTTATCAATATCTATCTGTGATACCAGCAAATCTTAAATAAAGATTATAAAGAGCCTAATATGTAAGACTATAGAAACTAATTTTTATGAATTAAACTTTGATAAGCGATTGTTTTAATCATATGTTTTTTTCTTTTAAGTTTTTTTAGCTCACCCGAACCGGAGGCTCAAGTGAGCTTTTCTGATCACATTTTGTCCGTCGTCCGTCCGTCTGTAAACTTTTCACATTTTCGACTTCTTCTCAAGAACCAATGGGCCAATTTTAACCAAACTTGGTACAAAACATTCTTGGGAAAAGGGGAGTAAAAATTGTTAAAAAGAAGGTCCAAGTTCCCTTACAAGAAGGATGGGACTGTTTACCTTTTTGCCATGGTTGATGGTATGATCCGTGTTAAAACCTGCATTGAGAATCAACGAAGTCATCATATATCTACAACTGGTCACTTGATCACTGAGCTAAAGAAAGGGAGTCGAGTGTGGATCAAGACTTCTAGTGAGGCGAAATTCATCCATGGAGGCCTTTACAATTACTTCTCTGGATACAAAATTAATTAACTCTCAGTAAAAAGAGTTTTAATTTGAGCTTTAACTAATATCTGCATATTGATTTAAAGAAAAAATAAAGTACTGATATAATGTCGTCGGCTTTCACTCTTTTCCTTATCAACTTGGTTCTATTGTAACACAAAGTCCAATTATGGTAACAGGAGAGCCGCAGTTAATATTAGTGCATGTATTTCTGCAAATTTAAATACAGTTCTGTTAGTACATGTATTTTACCTTGTAAGAAAGCAAGTTTTTTTTAAAGTTAGTCGTGTTTCAAGGAAAATTTTGCCAGTATACACTTAACATACATTAGATAATTTACGGATGTATCTTGTGAAAAATCAGATAATAATGGATCTGCCCCACTATCGACATATTTTCATGAAAGAAAACAGATTATCTCATCTGCATTAGTAATTCGACATACAGGTATTAAAATCTCTGCTATAAAAATCATTTTATTAAGAAAGAAATGGTGATTTGAAAATGACAAGCCGTAGGTCAACGCGCGTTCATTACTTTTAAAAGTCTCGACAATAAAATGTTAAAAGCGAAGACTTAAAATCTATTTGATTAGACAGAACTCCAAAAAATCAATTCTATAACACAATTATTCATATCATTAAACGCTCAATTAATCTCCTTTACTTCCTCATTAGCCAAATATGTTCATTCATTTTCAACTGGAAATATTTTGGTTAAAAACAAACAACTCCTGAGAATAAGAACATAATGATTTAAAAAAAAAAACTAGAATGGACATGATATATGTAACATCTACATGTACAAGTAGGTACACATTTAGTGCACATACTTCCTTTATAGACTTGTATCTTAAATAGCTTTGTATACTTATTGCTTTGTACTTAAAAATCGTTTTTAAAATCGATTAGACTCCGAACACAGATATTTACTTTTGGTTACTCTGTAATTCATATTTTAAATACCATTCTAAAATTGATCTTGAATGTCCAGAAATTATGACATTTCAAAACTAAGATTCGACTAGTCGAAAGAAAAAAAAAACAAACCATTTCTAACAAAATGAATTAAAAAATCAATTCATTTCATTTTAGTTTTATTTTATTTTTTTTTTTTTGAAAACATGTAAAATTCTATAAATCTTTTAATTAATATGGATTTTCATACATACAAAATGAATTATGTATGAGTGATTAAAAAGGGCAATAAAAATTATGACATACATTTTCTATTCCTTCTACTCTACTGAAATTAAATCTATGAAATAATTACCAGATTAAGCATACTTTGACTGATATTTGGTCTATTTTTTTAAATATACATGTATAACTATATTTTTCTCTGCTCCTAACGTTTGAATAGAATTTAAACTTAAGTGTGAACTAAAAGTAACACTATCTTTAATTTCAATCAGTGGTGTCAATTCTTTTCAAAATCCCCCACTAAGTGTTTTCCGACGCTGTGGAATGACTCCGCTTCGCTCAGCTGGTCATCTTCATCGTCAATAAATTTAAGTGCCTCAAGCATATCTTTCTTCTCTGTAGTCTTTGGTTTCGAGTCGACGACATTTAGACTTCTCTCTGCCGGCTTTCCAAACTCTAAAACAGGTTGGGAGAGGGAAAGATCCGAAAAAACGGCCCCAAAACGTTTGCTGTCTCCACTACCTGGACGTTTCTTGGGCAGAGCATGCGCACTATGTTCTTTACCACTAGAAGATGACATTTTCTTACTTTCAATTGGATAGTGCAATTCTGAGAGAGCCAGCTGAGGATGCATTGATAATCTT